CGCCAGTCACTGTCCGATAGTGTGGACGGTGCTTAAGGTGGAGTTGGAGGAGAATAAGGTGCCAAAGAGATTGGCTTTGTTAGGGGGAGAGTTGGCTATAGAGTTATCAGGTCGGAAGAGAGGAGGAAAAGAAGGAGTGCAGAAGTTGTTAAAGATGTTTTTGGTTAAGGACCAGAAGGATTTACTAGAGGAAGAATTAGTCAGGACAGCGGTCTTTATTTTTATAAAATTCCTCTTGGCTCTACGAAGAATAGCCTTACAACGATTCCTAGAAGTAATGAAAGAGGAGTGGGAAAAAGGTGAAGGAGACAGTTTCATAGCTCGGTATGCCCTATCTCTCACCCTGCAAGCAAGAGAGCAGGAGCGATCAAACCATGATTGTAATGTGAAAGTTTTGGTAGAAGATGGATAAATGCACTCATACCACCCTGTATAACCCCAGCAATGCTGTCAGTACATACCGAGGCGTCCCAAGTAGAAAAGCAACATTCATCCTAAGGAAAGTCGGTGAAGAACTCTCGCAAGGATTGCCATCTTGCCCTCCGATAGTGCCATAGTTGACGTTCAGAGGGGGGTGGGGGATGTGGTCGTACCCAGTTTGATTCAATAGAAATAAGGTTGTGATCAGAAGACCCTAAGGGGGCAGAAATTGAGTATGAATAGTGTGAGGGGTTAGAGGTAAAACAAAGATAAAAAATGTTAGCAAGTTGATCGTGTCGATCAGGAACGCGTGTAGTGTGTTTGATTATTTGTTCCAAATCATTAAGTAGGGAAAAAGAGAGTGCCTCAGCTCCACCTGGGTCATCCCTTGCAGAGCCAAGCCACTCTCTGTGATGTATATTGAAATCCCCACGGTAGAGGATCTCGGTGTTGTGGTGTGTGGATAGCAAAGACTAATGGCAAGAAGTGAGATAGTCAAAGGGTTTGAAATAGTTGGTAGAGTTGGGAGAACAGTATAGGAAACAAAGAAAAATAGTCACAGTAGGTTGAGATATTTTGAGCCAGATGACATCATAAAGGGAAGATTCAAGATCCGTGAGTCGAGCTATAGGTGTACGTGTGTTGCAGTAGGCGCATACACCTCCCTTAGAACGGAAGGAGGTATAAAGGTTGTCGTTGGAGACTTGAAAAGGTTTGGGTGAAGCTGCTTTGGACAGTTGAAGTTCGGAAAGTAGTAGCTTTCGTCCACCAGTCTAGTGAAGTCAGTCCGTGCTAGCGGCTGGAGCAGGTGCTGATGGTCCTGCAACTGACCTAAAATATCCTCCTCAAACTCCCTGTCGAAGTCCTCGTTCTCCTGTTCACTAATGGTAAAGATCTTTCGCAAATATCGCGGTGTAATTGTTCTTGGTTTTCCTCCTCGAATATTTTCACGTTGTTTTGGTCGAGCAGGTAAGGGACCGTGCTAGAGGTGGAACCCATCAATTGCTTGATCCCTTTCCAGAAGGCAGCAGAGTCGCGGTAATTGTTGGCTGCCTCCCACACCAAGGCGGCCCACTTTTGTTCATGTAGACATTTGCTCTCGTGCTGGATGTCCATCTGTAGCTCTCAGTACCGGTCACTCAGCTCTTGCGTCCACCCGCGGATACTGGCTAGGTGTCTCACGTGATCGTACTGGATACTGAGCTGCCTCAGCTGGTGACGAGTGTGAGGGTGGGGAATGGTCCTGCGGGTGGTGGTCGGGATGTTGTTGTCCATCTCCGTCTTCACATCCGTGTACCATTGTTCGACCGCTTCGTCGATGTCATTGGGGCTGGCTTCTTCCAGGTTCCTCCCCTGCTTGAGACTGAGAGACTCCTTGAAGGAGTCCCAGTCTGCCCATTTGAGGTTTGACCTGATGTTGGCGGGGATCATAATGGGATTGGATGAGAGCGTCACGAAGACTGGCAGGTGATCGCTGGTACTGGTGGGTCCGGCGGTAACGTGCCTGTTCAGGACGGCCTAGTCATTAGAGAGGATTATGTCGGGTGTTGTGGCACTGGCACGTCTGATCATTGTCGGGAAATCTGGCCCGAGGTGGTTCAGTTTTCCCCTTCTGAGTTTGTCATACAGCGCCACACCGACGTTGTCCTCATTACCGTGTCCAAGTATGGCGTGGTGCGCATTTAAGTCCCCTATGATGTATGTTGGTTTTCTGTGGCGTAGCAACGGGTTGAGGTCTTGTTCGGGTAAGTAAGGACGTCTGGGAGGTAGGTACATTGTGCATATGATAAAAGGTCCCTAGTTGTCTCCACGTGCACTCCTAGAACTGAATCCTCGAAGTCTTACAACACTCTGTGACTCAGACGTGACCTGACGGCCACAGCGACACCATCGTTCAGTTCACCCGTCATGTTCCTCTGGTATACAGTGTAGCCAAAAAATTTCAGCTTACTTTCGTCCTTTATGCCCGTACAGTACTGTTTAACAGAATAATGTCTGGGTCTAATTGATAGTATAAGTTAGACAGTTCGCTACGTCTATTAAGGGACCAGTGTAGGACATTATGTTGGACAATTTTCATCCTGCTAACGACTGCCATTTCGGAGACTGTAGCTTGGGACATCACTTGAAGTGTTTGCTCGGCTTCTGCCATTTCTAGGGGGCCGGAACTTTATAGCAGAACCTTCGAACATCTGCTTGTCAGTTAATGAAGGGCCCTCGAACTTCTCGTCACCCGTGTACAGGAAGGTGTTCAGATCCTGGGCCTGCGTGTCGAAGTAATCTACTGACGCTGCAGCTCGAGGGTCTTGTTCCTCTGTGGAGTAAGTCGCCACCATCTGGTAGCAACCACTGACAGTGGTCGCAGTCCGATGGTCACTGTCGTCGCTGGGAGTACATGTCTTGGGGTCACGGAGATTTACGGTGTCGTTGGAGCTGTGATCCAAGGGGGACTGACTGGCCACGTCGGGGCTACGGTTACACTGACTTTTGCCTAAGTCAGGGAGGTCATGGTCCATTTCTGGAGTGGGTTGAGGTCGTCGATAAGTCGTTGAGTGGGTTACAGCCTTCAGGATTTCTTTTGAAGGGATATCGTCACTTATTTCAACAGGTGCAATGTTGTTCCTGGTTAGTGTCTTATTGAGGTTTTTCGAGAATGAACCTGGATCAACCTTGTTCATGTGATGGGCATGCAAGTAAGACAAGTATATAGTGGTGGCTTTGGACTCGTCCAGCTGTGGAGAGGAGACGCTCCTGATGCTCTCCGCCACTGTGTCCCTCATGGCGCCCAGTGACTCAGTAGCTGCCTGTTTTATTGAGTCCTTGATGGTTATTATCTCTGATTGCAGGACTTCCATGATCTCGCTGACATTGTTGAGTTTTTGTGAGTCTGCTTGAGTTTCTTTCAGAGCGTCTTTTAGGGTTTGGCTGTAAGCCACGATCGTCGACTGAGTGGTCCTTTCTATGATGTTAGAAATTTCCCTGGTTTCTTTTTGCTTGGTTATTTCGGTCAGTTTCTTCTCAGTTTCTTGAGTTACCTGTTTCCTGACCAGGCAGGTGGCAGAGAAGGTCCTGTGGCCACACGTTTTGTTGGTGCTGTGGAAGTCTTTGTAGAAGCGCTGATCAGATGAACACTCAGAGCATATGACCCCTTGCAGGGGGCAGTTCTTGGTCATGTGGTCATTGTATTTATAGCACTTCATACATTGATGGATGGGCTTATACTTTTCATATTCTATTTGGTGTGATGAGATGGAAGTGCCATATGCATAGAGCCCCTTCTCCTTCATTCTTTTTTGCATCCGTTGTGTCTGCAAAGCGAACCTTGATTATTTTATAGGTATACACCTCCACAATCTTGACATTATTTTGCTTTTCTATTTCATCTCTTATTTCTTCTGTGTTATTTTCCACTACATCTTTGCCCAATTTCTTACATACAAGGGTGAGCTTGGCGCCGTATTCCCGTGAGACAAGAACCTCGTAACCGTTAGTTTTAATTTTGTCCATGGCACTAGACTTAAGTAGTTTATCAGCATCTTCGTCTGTCTCTGTGAGGATGATGTAACTATCTCTCAGATCCACAACTCTATTTATCCTCACCCTTAGGTCACTTAATAGCCTTTTTAGCCCTATCCGAGACCCCTGGGTCGGGGTTCCGGAGATCTTCACTCTCACTTTGGCCATGGTCAGTAACATACATGAAAATCCTACCTACTCTGTCCACCTCAGCTAAAACCCATGGATGCCGCTCCTTCTGTCCTCTTGCTGGGCGAGTAAAGACGGGTCTAGGGGTAGGGTGAACAGACAATCCCCTGACGGGGGCCTAGCTAAGCCCTAACACCTAACAGTGACAGGTTATGAAGCACTGCCGAATCCCTAACAGAAAATGTTGCCACCTTTACTGTTTCGACTCAGCAGCCCTCTGAGGGCCCCCCTTGAGGCTCTGCCCGCAGGGTTCGCGTCGTTACCAAACAGCAGGGACTCTAGGCGTAAGGATAGGATAGGGAAGAAGCGCAGTGTACAAGAATGATAATATCCATGTACAACTACAATATAAAGCACCCAGAGCGAACCCAACGTGAAAAACAAGGCTGACAGTCGTAATGGTCAACAATTTGAACATGAGCTAGGGCACACGTCCTCTCGCTGCAAAGGTTGGGTGCGCTCTGTAGCAGACTGTGTAACACAGCATGTGTGCTCGCAGATACATTGATTCTCGTCATTCAATTTCCGTCAAAATAATTATTAATGGTATTCTTGGGTCTGTTCTTGACCTTGCTGCCAATATGGCAATCCAGACATGAAACGCGCCCCTTAAACCACAGAGCGAAGCTTAAACTATGGGCCGGTAGTTCTATCATGTGTATTCGTGTGTGCGCGTCTCGACGTGCCACATAACCAGGTTATTCAAAACTAATTGGCACAGGACTTTTAAACGGGACTGTACCTGGCACACTTATCATAAAAGAGCAAACGAATGAGCTGCTGTTTAGAATATTAAAAGCCGGAAATATATTTCGTGCTCATATCTATCTGTTCAAAGTCTAGTAAAGATGAAAATAACAGAATCAACAACTTACAGCCATTTGGGGTGCTCCACTTGTAGGCAAGAGCTGGGATTCTGAAGAAGGCGGGGGAGGCGAGGGCAAGGAACAGATGCTGGAGGAGGTTGGTGGCGCCAAAGGCCAGTAAGGGCTCTTCTTCATCTGTTTGACTCCTCACTGTCTCAGTTGTTGTCTCACTCTCATCCTGCTTCTTCTTGTGTTCCTCCCCTACCGCCGGGCTGTGATGACTCTGTAACACCACCACAACTTAACTATATGACACTCATGTGTGTGTGTGTGTGTGTGTGTGTGTGTGTGTGTGTGTGTTAACAGGGTCACGATGGTCACTGTTCCTGCATGTGTCTGCTCACTGAAGAAAGTAATATTAATACTATTACTAACAGTAATCAATCAATCAAAAGTGCTATCCTCATATCTGACCCGGTCGGCTCCCGCAGTTTTTCACTCGAAACGTTTTCAGGCTGTTTTTACCAATCCTCCGAGATTTTGCATCTCTCTGGGGACCCAGTTTTTAATTTCATTCGTCCCAGTTTGCCTTCCCCTGGCCTCTCTATCCTCAGCTTTGCTCATAAATATTTATGTGGTAAAATTGTAATATCTCCTTCATTACGCGTGTTTTCCTCCAAGTTATAGATAATTTTACCGCACTCAAGCCCATCAAATGCTTTAAAATGCATACAAAAGATAAAAAAAAAACATTTCTTTGAACCTTTATAACGCTTACACTCAAAATTCTCAGACCAAATACAGCTTCTCTAGTTCCTTTTACCTTTCTATGTCCATTCTGATCATCAGATAATTCACTTTATTCCAATTATATTTTCTTTAAAATTATGTCTCATAAGCCGTTAAGATGCACGGAATAGCTAACGCGTTAGCTTTCCTGGACTGTCATTAAAAAAATACGACATTGTACCGCGTCTTTGGAATAACTGTTGTACAACACAGTCTTCAGAAAACAATAAAATTAGAACTGTTATTTGGACACAATACCGGATATAGTGAAGAAATATAGAGAAAAATATGGCCTTAAAGACAAAAAGGAAAAAAAGTCAATCAATCAACAATAACCATGGCTTGATCCATTTGTTTATACAGGGAAGGTGCTCCACTACGTACTGTACAATATGTTCTCTCGTCTCGCGGCTATAGCGTGTTGTTTACAGGTGTTCGCTTATAATATTCACGCAATACGACGAAATTAAGGTTCGTTATGTCTTTATTTTTGCACTTACAGATTGTAATAAACTTTTCATACTTATTTAAAGTACTGTATCTAGTGAGTAATGATATTAAAGTTTTAATCATATTTGGGTAATTCTCAATATTGCTACACCAAAGTCACCAACGGCTAATGAAATTGGACGGCGCCCACTTAAAAATGGGCGGAGCCAAAACTTGTTTCAACTAGGCGCAATTCTTTTCATTTTTTACGCCAGAAACTTTGTTTTAGGTCCTATCCAATATACTACCGTATATAGAATAATTTTTATTATTATATCATAGTTTTTCATTGATTACATGCCCCCAACTCTTCAATATTAATCAAAATATTCTCCATAAGCGGCCATGATCCGTGTATTTTCAGTGGGAGAAATCACTGAGCAAACAGCACCCATTAAAAATGGGCAGAGCCAAAACTAGTTTCAACAGGCACAATCCTTTTCAATTCTTTCATTGTTTTGGGTCCTGTAGGTTATGTATCTAAGCTACTGTGCCAAGTAGCATCTATGTATATAATTACGTGGCAACACTGCACGTGTTATGTGGCAACATTGCCCCGAGGCTGCCATATGGCAAGGCAGTCTCAGTCTGACTGTGTGAGCCGTGCATGGCACACGCTAGTCACCACTTGTATTTCTCTCATCCATAATAAACGGACTTCAGTGTTACCCGGTGTTTCCCTACCCATCACTGCATTCTTCAGGGAACACTTGTAACCATCATGGCGCAGTGACTGGGATCTGTGGACTTACAAGTGTGTGAACGATGGACAGTTAGCCGGCGATGTGATGCGCCCGTCGACTCTTAGTGTGTTGTGTTGTGTTTCGCCGCGATGTGCAGTGTTGGGACGTCACAGTGTTTTTTAGTGACGGTGGCAGTGTTAGTGTCAGTGTATTAGTGTGTCTAGAGCTGAGAGTTGAGCATTGGCCTGTTTTTTAGTGGTACCCACGGAGCACGCAGGCGTACACCCTTCTCCTGCGACATCCGGGGGGACACTGACGGTCTTGCCTCCGCCAGCCACCACGCTCCGCTCTCTGAGGCACACACACACACACACACACGCACGCACGCACTCACTTACGGACAGAACAGTGGAATCTATGCGTTATTTCTGCGCTGTTTATGTCATATATATGTGGTTCGAGCTGTTGAGGCGCCACTTTATACACTAAACAGTGAAGTCCACGCACACACTAAGATGGGCGGTAAGAAGGGACAACGTCAAGATGGGAGACACGACTCCCCACCGCCTTCCCCTCCACCGGGCGCAGACTCTCATCCTCCACCTCCAGTGACGGACATTGCCACAATTCTGAGGTGGATGGACGACCGGGACGAGAGACGCAGAGAGATGGAATTCCAGAGGGAGGAGACACGAAGAGAGGAGGAAAAGTTGCGTTTTGAGGCACTATTGGCGACCCTGGCGCTAACCCACCCTCCCTCACTCGCAGGTAGCGCGCATCAAGGCGCCAATATCCTCCCTCCTCCACCACACCAGCGTCCTCCAGGTACTCTTGCCTCCAAACAAACAGCTCCCAAGGCATCTGTTCAACCTCCACCCGCCCTCTCACCAGACGTCACGTTTCAGCTTTTTCGTGAGTGGAGGCGGCGTTGGCCAGATTACTCCACGATGGTGGACCTTGACAGCATGCCTCCAAACAAACAGCTCATCCAACTGCGGATGTGTTTGTCGCTGGAGACCCAGAGAGTTTTGGAGCACACGTTGCAAGTGCCTCCCGATTCTACATCTTCAGTGACGGATGTGCTCGACCTTTTACAGGAGCACGTTAAAGGGCGGAATAACGAGGCTTTGCGTCGCCGCGCCTTCACCAGCTGCAAGCAGGCGGAGAACGAATCCTTTGACGACTTTTTTGTACGCTTGAAGAGTTTGTCAGAGGAGATCGACGTGTGCAAGGCGCACAGCTGGGAATGTGAGGAAGCCTGGATCAAGCACGGGATCTTGACAGGTGTCAGGCACGAAGAGTTGGTGCAGCGACTCATCCCCCTGGACGCTTCCTCCACACTCCAGGTGGTAGTGACTGAATGTCGGTCATACGAGGCCACCAAGTCCGCCACCTCTGCCTTATGGGCCCCACCTGCTGTGAGAGCTATCTCACAATACAAGAAGGGTAAGAAGGCGGCCAACAACGTGAAGGCTGCCGCACGTTCTTCCACGCCTCCGCCTAGTGCTTCCTGTGGCAGCTGTGGAAAGCAGCATGGCCCCAAGACATGCCCGGCCGCCGACGCACTGTGTCGTGGATGTGACCGTAAGGGCCACTGGTCTAACACAGACAGGTGCCCTGCACGAGGCCGCAAGTGTCAGGCCTGCCGTCGCTATGGACACTACGACAAGTGCTGCCGCCAACCCAAGCCCAAAAGCCCGAGACGATGAGGAAAGCAGCGCACTTCCCTCGGGGTGGTTCGCACGCAGCCCCCTCCAGATGGCCCACGCAGCCCCAAGCAGCAGCGGAGTCACATCAGGAGGGTGGAATCGACCACACGCCCCAGGGCTACCCCGTCCCCCACCATCCGCGTCGCCGTCACACACGGTGATGTGTCGGGTCACATCGAGGTGATACCGGACACCGGCGCTGATACTACGGTGATTGGGTTGAAGCACCTCCAGAAACTGGGCCTCACCAAACGCGGCCTGGTACCACCGCTGCAACTGCAGTACTACAATGCCGACGGTTCCCAGATGCCGGACGCTGTGGGCTCCTTTCAAGCCGAGATCACCTACGGCGACAGGTCGTGTCACGGATGGATCGACGTGCAGCCTACTCTCGCTACACCCTTGTTGTCGTGGGAGCACTGCAAGGAGTTAGGCGTGGTGCCCAGAGACTTTCCTGAGCAGATCCCAGCTGCTTGGTACACCGCCAGCAGGGTGCGGGAATCAACGAGCGACTCGCCTGGCGCTGCCGCACAGAGCTGCCCAGGACCCGCGTCCACTCCAGCCCCGCCTCCACCCAAGTCACGGCTGCTTCCTCTTCACAGCGAGACGTCTCCTTCAGCCGCAAGGGCCTACTTCCTGAAGGAGTACTCGGATGTGCTGGTGACGAAGGAGGCCCTACGGACCGCGCCACTGAAGGCTATGGCGGGTCCGCCTATGAGGATACACCTGCGGAAAGATGCACTGCCGTTTGCCATACACACTCCCCGGTTGATTCCTCTCGCCTTCAGGGATTCAGTCAAGAAGGAACTGGATTCCATGGTGGCCCAGGGTGTCATCGTACCCGTTGGTGACGACCCATCCCCTTGGTGCCACCCTCTAGTCGCTGTGGCTAAGACTAACGGTGGAGTGCGGATTACTACCGACTTGTCTAAGCTTAACAGCCAGGTGTCCCGTCCCGCCCACCCTTCACCCACACCTTTTGCAGCTATACGGAGTGTGGATCCGAAGGTACGGCACTTCTCGACGATGGACGCCCTCTGTGGTTACTGGCAGATCCCACTGAAGAAGGAGGATCAGCCACTGACCACTTTCATCACGCCTTACGGACGCTTCCGCTACTGCCGTGGCCCAATGGGATTCGCCGTTACGGGGGACGCCTTCTGTCTCCGTGGTGACATGGCACTTCAAGGCGTGACCAACTGCGTGAAGGTAGTGGATGACGTCCTCCTCTACGATGAGGACTACCTGACGCACCTTCGCCGCATCGACGAGGTACTGACCAGGTGTAGGAGGCACGGCATCACTCTGAATGCCGAGAAGTTCGTCTTGGCCGCACCTGTAGTGTCTTTCTGCGGCTACCGACTCTCAAGGGATGGCATTGCTGCGGACCCGGAGAAAATTCGCGCCATAGCGGACTTTGCAAAACCT